CTGGAGCCAGGAGGCAAGCAGGCTGGCCAGACCTGGTCCCTCCTGTCCGTAAGCACTGGAGCCCAGGAAGCAGGCACAGGACTCTGGATTCCATGGTGGGACTTCCCAGGCACAGCTACGGCTGGATCATTTTACTGCCGCCAGAGGGAGACAGGCTCAGGGCAGGAGACTCAGTGAGACCTTTGAGAGGTAGTCTGGAGCCAGGGGCTAGCTAGCAAGACATAGGAAGGGGGATTTTCTGCCTGTTTCTGGCCTGCTGCATAGATTATACAAGCACACACACACATGCATACACATAGACAGGTATGATTTTGCACTTTCATCCATACACACGTGTGCATATGTACACTCATGCATACCATACATATTTGGGCCCAGGGCAGTCCCCTTCCTGCCTGTCCCTTCCCCCACCACTCCCACCCAATGTAGGACACCCAGGTTCTCACCTGCAGGGGTCTCGGGGTTCTCAGAGAAGGACCTTTTGCTTGGACGACTTGGCTTCCTATGCAGCTGGCGATTCTCTCTGGGCTTCCCTGAAGGAAGGTAGCAGAAGTGTCAGGGTGTGAGATGCTCCTTAGCCCATCAACTTTAGGTGGCATTTATGGGACACCAGCTAGGCTTGTTCCCAGGCTATTAGGGAAGGACTCACGAGGCCAGCACGCAGCAGCTTTAATGAGCATCATCTTCCAACAGCAAATACACCTTACTCTGGTACTATCAAGAACCAACCTGTATCTGGAACCAAAACCCCAGGCCTGGGCGTGTGGAAGCCCCTAAAAAGTGTGCCCCTTGGAGTCCTGACTGCTGTCTCCCACCCAAATAATGCCCCTGCCATTTTCCAAGCCCTTCAGCAAAGCCTCTCTCCTCCTCTGCTCCAGACAGGTGCTCTCAGTCTGCTCCTGAGGTTTCTGGGCAAGGGCAGGGTGGATGGGGGTGTGTGTGTGCTGGGCAGGGCTGGGCCAGGAAAACCAGTCTGGCCAGTGAAGCAGAGTTGGCTGGGATGAGGCTCTGGGCGTGGGTGTGAGTCAGCGGGCTGGGGCTGGGGAACCACTGGGGAGGATGTCACCTGGAGCGACTCCCCGAAACAGGAGGCCTGGGAAGGAAGCCTCAGATGAGACTTGGTCCTGGACCCCCAGCTCCACCCCTGGGACTAACAGGTGGGCCGTGTGAGGGTCCCTTGGGCCTTGCTTTGATTTAAAGGGGATGCTGGACTCCCAGTCATGACCGTAGTCAGGTCCCACACCCCATCCCAGGAGTCAAGCTAGACTTTTATCTAGGCGTTTGAAGGCTCAGTGTTTTCACCAGCCCATAGTGTGGCTCAGGTGCTTCATGCTGGGGCTATGGTGGCCCTTCATCTCTGGCAAGCTCCTGCCCAGCAGGGTTCATCTGGGTAGGCCTGGGGCTCCAATGGTCAGCTGGGTTGGGATGGCCTATGGCCAGTGAGGGTCTGGGCAGTTAGGGCTGGTGCATTTGGGATGCAGCTCTTGCCTCTGTGGCCAGTTTGAGTTTCCCGCGACTAGAGACCGAGGGGTGGGGTAAAAGGGGGGGGGCTTGGTGACGCCCAGGCAGGACCAGGCAAGTCTTCAAGCAGTAGTTTAGCTACTGAGAGCCGCCCCCAGTTTCCCAGTCTCCCTCCCAGTCTGGCCAGTGAAGTCTGTGGCCTGTAAAGTCCCGCACCCTGTGTCAGCATGTTAGTCAGCCTCCTCAGCTAGGGTGAGCCACTGTGCCGCCAAAGTCTCTATAAACTCTCTGGTGTGGCCCAGTGCCACAGAGTGGGACCTGTGGGGCCTACAAGCAGAGCCAGGGCCCTGGGCTCTGCTGCCGTGGTGCCGAGATCAGCCAAGGGGCAGCACAGCCACTTGGGACAGCAGGAGCAGAGGGCTGAACCTGGCTGAGAGCAAGCAACCTACTGTGGCCTCTGGGATGTCCTCTGAGCTCCCCAACCAGGCCAGTTGATGAGCCAGGCCCCTGGGGAGCAGACATCTGGTGAAACAGGCACTGGATCCAGGGCCATGTCTGGGAAACGAGGGCGAGGGCGAGCCCGAAAGCCCCGAGGCAAGAGGGTGGGCAGGGCCCAGCGGGGAGCTGGACAGCAGGGCCCTGAGACTGAGCCCCCGCCCCCCAACACAGGGGGCCCTCAGGACCAGGTGGGGGTGGCCCTGACAGAGCACGTGACCAGCACTCAGCCGGCTCCTCAGGGACACTCCAGGGCCACCAGGCCAGAGCAGCTACAGGCAGCCTGGAGGCCAGTTCAGGCCACTGCTTTGGAATCCGAGCTGGTGCTGGCTCCTGAGCACATGGAGGGCTGTGGAGCTGGGGCCCCCATGCCAGCCCTGGGCCCTGAACTGCTGAGACTCCACGAAGTCCAGCTGTGCCTAGCCCAGGAACAGCTGCTGCTGGAGGACCGGAGGCGGCAGGTCCAGCTGCAGATGCAGCTGTGGCAGGAGGAGCAGCTGTGGCTGCAGCAGCTGCAGGAGGAGCAGCTGTGGCTGCAGCAGCTGCAGGAGGAGCAGGCCTGGGTGCACATGGAGGGGCTGCAGCTGGCTGTGGCCCTGGAGCAGCTCCGGAGTGAGGGCCTCGAGGCACTGCAAACCCAAGGCCAGGTAAGGCCTAGAGGGGTATTGGGCAGGGGCTCGGGCAGTGACCATACCATGGACACTCAAGTATCTTATAGATGTGTGAAGTTTGGGAGGCCAGGTTGGTGTAGGACCTCTGTGGGCCTGCACACCAAGAGGGGACAGTGGTCACTACATATAGAATATTGCCCAGATGAAGGACAGCAAGCCTACCCAGACCACACAATGCTTGGTAGACAAGGCTATTGAGGGAGGGAACTTGTTTGGGGATGGAGGTGTCAGGGGACCAAGATAAGTCGCTACAGGAGCTGTCCAGGGCGTATACATAGTAGGGTGTGGGATGAGGGCTGGGTGCACAGCTGATAGACAACATCAGAACCAAGAACAGTCCCCACCCCAAGTATCCTGGACAACTTCTCATCTGGTCCACCCGCTGTGCCCCATGTTTACTGCAGCTTGGTGCCCAGGGCTTGAGATCACAGAGGCAGAACGCAGTGCTGGTGCCATTATCCTCATTCCAGAAGGAAGACTGGCCTCAGACGCAGCTGGGGCTATTTTAGGCAACTAGGATCTCACCGTAGCATAGTGTGGAGTCACCACTGCCTGCCAGCTCCAGGGAATCTAAGATACAGGGCTGCATGTGGGGACTCTGACAGCAGGCACAAATGCCAGACAAGCTTGGGTGCAAGAGACAGTCTGGAAAGATGTTCACAGCTCTGGTAGAATGAATAGGACTCAGGGCAAAGGGGCCAGAAAAGCTGCAGGAAGGTAGGCACGGGGGCAAGGGAATCCCTTTTCTGATGCTCTGCAGGAGCCAGCCCAGGCTAGTTGTAACCTTTCATCCTGGGGGTACTTAGGGAGAGACAGTCTGAAGGGGAAGGCAGGATTGTGGAACAGTGAATAGACAACCACTTAGCATCAAGAGTCCCAACTCGGATTCAAGGCCTGCTTTTTCAATATTCCTTTGTTGCTGCCATTGTCATTTAGAGATAGGGTTTCTCTGTGTTGCCCCTGGCTGTTCTGGAACTCACTCTATAGACCAGGCTGGCCTCAAACTCAGAGATCTGCCTGCCTCTGCCTCCTGGGTGCTGGGATTAAAAAGTACGCACCACCAACGACCTGATTCAATATTGTTTTAAAGCTACCTACCCCTCCGGTTTCCTCCTGACCCCTTTCCCTAACATCGTACCCTCCTGAGCACTGTACCCACACCCCACCCCAGCTCTAACGGTTCGAGGTGCAGTGGACGTCTGAGCTTTGAGCTTACAAACTATCATACCCACGCCCAACTGAAAGAGCTCTTGGAAACCACTTAGAAAGAAAGGGTTTCTGGGGAGCCCTAAGTGCCTAGTGGTCAGTGTTGGGGTAGTGCCCTGGAGGTCAGAGGGGGCACTCACCAGCAGCAGCTCGAAGCTTGGACCCAGGGAGGGGCGCCTGCCCCTTCCCCGCTGCAGCTTTGGGCCCCCCCTTCTTAGTGCTCATTCTCCTGGGGGTGGGAAGGAAAAGTCCGGGGATGGTACATTCAGGAGGGCAGAGGACAAGGCAGTGGACATACTGCCCTGGCCGTGGATGAACACACAGCAGAAGCATAGACCTCCACACGTTCCCCAGCCAGCTTCTCGGTCCACCTGACTGCCCCTGGCTGTCTTGAGTGTGTGCCCAGTAGCTTGAGGAAGGATATCTATCTAGCAAGAAAGAATATGTCTCCCTTTGTGCTGGTGTGCCTGTCCTCTACAGTTCTGGCTCTGCCTGTCCTGCTGTGTTCTAGCACCATTCTCTAAGTCGCTGGGCTAGAAGCTCAACAGCTTGGGCTCTGCAGACTTGCCTTCAACTATTGTCAACTTGGGTTTGCTGAACACAACCCCTCCCCACCCTCTAACCCTCTTTCTTCTTGGCCTTGGGCAACTCTGCTGTCTGGTTCTGGAAGCAATGCCCTTCTCCCTAGTATACAAGGCAGGCCCCCATTCATTCCCCTGGGAAGAACGTTCTTTCCACTTCTGTTGAAGGTAGTAGGGTCTTCCAGTGCCCTAGAAACCCTCACAGGGCCAATGAATAGGAAACCGGGTAGTGCAATCTCTGACTCCATACACCTGTGTGCCCACTAGGCTGGGGTGCATTTGGGAATGGAGTTAATGAAATGTTATCCTAAAAACAGGACCCAGAAAGTGACTGAAAGTAAGCTGTCTTACAGAAAATGTTCAGGCAGGTGGCAGACATTGAGAATTTGGGGTAGGAGATGCGGTAGATAGGGCTTGGACATATGACTGAGTTCAGGGTAGGGCGTGAGTAGAGGAGTGAGCTGGAGGGAGGGCTGGGTAGACTAGGGACCTAGGAGGAACTACATCCTTAGGTATACCTGTGATGTGTTAGGGTTGATATGAGCATGACGGTCCCTGTCTGTAGAGATCCAGTACTTGCAGCATCGTGGGTGCAGACTGTTTAATATGCATGTGTTAAGACGGGGACCTCTGTGCCTTCAGTTGGTGTGCACAAGGAAAGGTCAGTGGGTGCCAGGACCAACCACTGTTGGGGCAGTTTAGAGAGTGATCCTCATGTGAGATGCGGGGTTGGGAGGGATTGGTTTGCGGGAATCTGTGTGGCAAAGGAGGTTCTGCTCGTGGATCACCCCAGATTCCCTTGTGCCTGAAGGGTCCCATGGGTACAAGTGTGTGCTCAGGATCCTATACGGTTGGCCATATGAGTGGGGAAGCCCGTGGAGTTACTGTGCTGTCGGTCTCATGTGCGAAGATGAGCCTCCGGGGAGTGGACTGGAGAAACCAGAGGTGTGCCTGAGTAGGGTAGGGCGGTCACCTGAGTGAGCTGGGTACCCAGGGCCCCCTGTCTGCGACCTCACCTGCCTCACCTGCCTCTCGCAACACAGAGGCCAGAAGCTCCGCCCCTCGCGTCGAGCTGGCCAGTTTCCTAGCGACTAAGCCGGAACTTCCGAGTTACCCCCAACTTCCGGGGCGAGGGTCAGGGGTCGGCAGTAGGGTCTTTGAGCGATCGGTTTGCAAATGGGTTCAATGGACTTCGGCGACCTGAAAGAAGAGGCTCTAGCAGTCCGGAGTGGCGCTGGCCAGGGTCCGGAGCGCAGCTCTGGGGCTCCACCTGAGCGCTCGGGGGACGGGGTTGGGGTGTGGGCTGGGGGCGCCAGTGAGGCCACACTGGGGACCCAGGATCGCGGCCGGGGTCCGGGACGCGGAGGGCGCAGGAATGCGGGCGCGTCGGGGTGGGGCCGCCCCGCCCAGGTGCTGCCCGGGCAGGCAGGAGGCAGAGCGCGGGCGGGGCGGGGGCGGGCGCGTGAATCAGGCCGAACGGGCGGGCGGGCCGCGGCGGGGAGTGGCTGTCGGACGGACCGGACCGCGAGGCCGCTGGGCGGCGGTGGGCTCCTGCTGCCCCTGTGCCGAAACCCCGCTCACCTGGCCAGGTAGGGCTCCCTTCTCCGGAGCGGGCCGGGCATGGCACGGCGGGGCGAGGCGCACAGGACGGGTGGCTTGGGCCTCCGCGCGGTGGCACCTGGGTCTGGTCTCTGGACTTGGGCCGGGCGGTGCAGTGAGCGCGTGCGTGGGGCTAGGTCGGAGACAGGGGGGACTGCGCTCCGGGGCACTTGGTGAGAGATTTCCCAGGGGCACGCTGGCAAGTAGGAGGCAGAAGAGTGCGATTCGCTCTGGCGGCCTAGGTGTTGTCAGGACATGACCTGTACCTTTCCCAGAGCCTCTCCCCAAGCCGCCATGAACCTGGGTGTCTAGGGCTGGATCCTTGTGTGGAGCGCAGGGAAAACTGGATTCTCCTAACTCCCGATCTCATATTCCTGGACTGGATTGGCAGATAAGATACCTGTCCTGGGTAGCCGCTAACTTCCTGGGGCCTTGCAGTGCCTAACCCGAGAGCTGTATAATTCATCGACTTCCGGTCTTTGAGCCGAATCCTACCTCCCAGCTTCTTCTTGTCCCCTACCACCCCAATCCTACTTGATCACAGTCATCTTCTTTGCGTAGTAGCCTAAGGTTCTCCCCCATGGGATCCCCCTTCCAGACACAGAAACACTGCTACCTCCCACCAGGTAGGAGGGGGAAAGGTTATTTTCTTGTGCTGTTAGTGGTGAAGGGCCTTCGGGACTAGCTTCAGGTAGGAGGTCAGGAACAAAAAATTCCTGCTGAGTCACTGGTTTGGGTGGGATAGGCTCCTTCCTTAAGCAGGGCCCCTCTTGAATAGGCAGATGTCAGTGAGCAGGCTGTTGGATTCATTGTTGATAGGAGTGGTCACCGCCTGGTCTATAGCCAAGGGGCAATGTGTACCAGTGGAAGAGTATAAGGGCATTTAAGGTCGTGTGTGACTGCTGTGAGGTCAGATACCACAGTGGCCACCCAGGACTAAGGCCCCTTCCCAGCCCATATCTCTCTGAGGGTCCCTCACTAGAAGTCCATGGGCTGGACAGTATCAGTTCTCAATCTCCCTTATACCAGGAAATGTCTCTCAGAGTGAGCATGCTGGTGCCCCAGGTAGTCTGGGAATGCTGCCTACAAAGGCTGGGTGCAGTATGAGACCTGCCCAAGTAGACAGGCCAGCAATAGACCCTAGGTGTACTGCCTTGGTCTCTTCAGTACAGTGTGCCACACCTCACATTGCAGACAGGAAGGAAAACCCAACGGCCTCCAGTCAAAGCAATGTCCCAGAGGGAAGTCAGAGCTCTTTTCTTAGGGCCAGTAGACATAGGAGTGTCCCCACCTCCAATCTCTGTCACACTTGGACTCGCTAATGTGTTACACCATGCCCCTAGGGGTGGCAGACGCCATAGCTCCCTGTGTCATACACAGCAGAGTCCCGCTGACCCCCAACATCATTGGGCAAGTGTCCCCTAATACCAGAGCTGTCATCTTGTCAGCATCACTGGCCCACTCCTCAAGCCACTCCTCTTCCTGGGCAGAAATAGTTTTCTAGTTTGGACTAACATCCAGGAACCTGTGTGCTAGGCAGGGTGTGAGTCCCAAGCCATTTCAAACCTGAGGAGCACTGGGGAATGGTGCGAGCCTGCCCTAAGGCAACTTCCAGGCCAGTGGCCAGCAGGCTTTCAGGTGTTTGCTTGTTGCTTCTAATGCTTTCTTCAACCGCAAGCTTCTGCTACGCACACTCGTGGTGGCCCAGGAACCTCCTGATGTGGACATGGGTGGTTCCTCAGGCACCTACAGGCCAGTGATTCAGACCAGGTTAGACCTGGGCTGGCCCCTGGCATTTGGCTTCCAAGGCTCAGAGGTCATGTGTGTGTGTGTGTGTGTGAGTGTGAGTGTGCATGCACACTCACACACACACACACCACAGCCACTAGAGAACAAGAAAAGTGTGATAGTGAGGCACCTGTGAAAGGAGACACTGACCGGGAACTTGGGACAAGGCTGTAGCAAAGGCTCTCCCTTCATTCTTAGTGTATTGGGGAGATGGTAGTGATTCAGGAAATGTCTCTGTTGCCATCAGGATGGGTGAGTCTGGGAGGGTATAAAGGAGAGACCCTACAGGGAGAGGCTTGTCCTAAGGAACTGTGCCCCGGGACGCTGAAGTGAGACGGTAGCAAAGGGTGAAGTTTTTTAGAGAAGTTGAAGGTTGAGGAGTCCGGGCAGGGAGATCAGTGAAGGGACTGTGGGCAGATGCAGGTGTGGACTGAGGAAAGAGGTGTGGGTGGGGCTTAAGGCCATCACCCCTGGATGAGTCAATATGCACTCCACTGCGCTCACCTTGGGCCAGGTACCGTGTCTCGCCACCCCTCCCAGCTCTGTGCAGTGAAGGTAACAGGCCAGAGCACTGCCAGAGATCTTCAGGCAGTGGAGACTCCTGACAAAGAAAGGAATAATCACTTTAACCCAGCTGCATTTGTATCTTAACCAAAACTTAACGTTTATAGGAAAAGGGAGTCACAGAGCAAATGGGTCATGAATGTACTGACTCTAAAGTAAGGGTAGGTGGGACCTCTTACCTGTATGGAATGGGAGCAAACACTGGCAGTCCCCAAGACTGACACAAACAAGGTGTCAGCCCCAGGAAGGGGATTTAGGGCTGAGTACCACTGGCCCATGTCTTCCCCGCTAGGGCATGCTATGGCCTGTAGCGTCTGCTTCGGAGCCTGTCTTCTTTGGGTCCCGAAAGAGCTCCCAGGCGTAAGCTAAACCCAAGATCTAGCAGCTGCATCAACTATGTGTGTCCACTTGTGGAGTGAGGTAAGTGGGTCCTACTGCTCCTAGTTAATGCATTTTCCTGCTCCTCCAGGCCCCTGGCCCCAACATGGCCCGTCGCTCCCAGAGCAGCTCGCAGGGGGACAACCCATTGGCACCTGGGTACCTGCCACCTCACTACAAAGAATATTACCGCCTAGCGGTGGACGCATTGACTGAGGGTGGGCCAGAAGCCTACAACCGCTTCTTGGCCTCTGAGGGGGCACCTGACTTCCTGTGTCCCGAGGAACTGGAACACGTGAGCCGCCACCTGCAGCCCCCACAATATGTGGCCCGGGAACCCCCCGAAGGTACCCCTCCCGATGTGGACATGGACGGTTCTTCAGGGACCTACTGGCCAGTGAACTCAGACCAGGCTGTGCCTGAGCTGGACCTGGGCTGGCCCATGACATTTGGCTTCCAAGGCACAGAGGTTACCACACTGGTACAGCCGCCACCGCCTGACAGCCCCAGCATCAAAGACGAAGCTCGGAGGATGATCCGCTCTGCCCAGCAGGTGCATTCTCATGGGCTCAATGGATGGTGAAAGGCAGCCTGCGCTGGGGTTTGAAGCGTGAATAGGTGTGGGAGAGATAAAAGCATTTCTGGTGTTGGCCAGTGGTGGCGCATGCCTTTAATCCCAGCACTTGGGAGGCAGAGGCAGGCGGATTTCTGAGTTCGAGGCCAGCCTGGTCTGTTAGTGGGCTCTGTAGACATTCTCTTCTTCTCTAGGTTCATGGCCAGTACCAAGAAGCTCAGGGCCTTGCCCAGCTGAGAGTGCGCACGCCCTCGCGCACACACACACACCAGGCACTTGGTAAACTGAAAAAAAAACAAGTGTTTAAGCCAAGAAGACTAGCTCATGCCAGTAATCCTAGCACTCAGGGAGGTTGAGGCCAGCCTGGACTACACAGTCACAGACCAGGCTTGTATTAAGAAATAGGAACACTCCCACAAAACCCAGGAATATTAGAGAGAGAGGTAGCAAGGCCAGATGGTAAAGGCCTAGCTTCTGCCCCTGCTCCAGGAAGTTGATTAAACTCCACAGGCCCATCAAGCTGGAGTTTACTGATACCTGCCTTGACACCTTGGGATCTGAACTCACAGAGCTGCAGCTACTCCCCCTCTGAGTGAAGCACCCTAAAAGCATAGCCCCTGCTCTTGGGACTTAAGGTCTACCAAGTGTCAATTGTTTTGTGTCCCTCCGCTGGGTCTGTTCTACCACCATTCCATTCATGGCCATTCTCTCCCGGGGCAGGCTAATGGTCATTTTACACTGCTTATGGGTAAGCATGTGGCCTGAGATGGGCAGAATGGCGGGCGGAGCCCTTCCCTCTCCCTCTCCGCTGACCTGATCTCCACCTCCCAGGTGGTAGCTGTGGTGATGGACATGTTCACTGACGTGGATCTGCTTAGTGAAGTGCTAGAGGCTGCTGCGAGGCGAGTTCCGGTTTACATTCTGCTGGATGAAATGAACGCCCAACACTTCCTAGACATGGCCGACAAGTGTCGTGTCAACCTGCACCATGTGGATGTGAGTGACCAAGCCAGGGGAGTGGAGGGAAAATACCTTTGGTGAAGACCTGACTCCCTTCTCTTCCAGTTCCTGCGTGTGCGCACAGTGGCAGGTCCTACTTACTACTGCCGCACTGGGAAGTCTTTCAAAGGCCATCTGAAGGAGAAGTTCCTACTTGTGGACTGTGCCGTAGTGATGAGCGGGAGTTATAGGTATGCCCAGTGGGTTTCCCTTAGCCCCGGCCCTTCCCACCTAGTCCTCCTCCGGAGTCCCACTTCCTTCCCATAAAGCTCTCCTTGCCACAGCCCACCAGCCCAAACCCTTACAGATCCCTGATTATCCAACTGGTGCCTTTAGCCTTTGTGGCCTCGCTTCCTCTCCCTGACTCCTGTCGTCTTGTCCACAGCTTCATGTGGTCCTTCGAGAAAATCCACCGCAGCCTGGCTCACGTGTTCCAGGGAGAGTTGGTCTCCAGCTTCGACGAGGAGTTCCGCATTCTCTTCGCACAGTCGGAGCCACTGGTGCCCTCAGCTGGGGCGCTAGCCCGCATGGATGCTTATGCGCTTGCTCCATATTCTGGGGCTGGGCCCCTGGTGGGCGTCCCCGGGGTTGGAGCACCAACACCTTTTTCTTTCCCTAAACGGGCGCACCTCCTGTTCCCACCGCCCAGGGAAGAAGGCCTTGGCTTCCCCTCTTTCCTAGACCCTGACCGCCACTTCCTATCGGCTTTCCGCCGAGAGGAGCTGCAGCGGATGCCTGGGGGTGCATTGGAGCCTCACACAGGGCTCCGGCCACTGGCGCGTCCAGGTGAGGCTGGGCCGCTCGGAGAGCTCGCGGGCCCCCGGGGCTTCTTCCAGTCGCGACACCTGGAAATGGATGCCTTCAAGCGCCACAGCTACACAGCAGCCGATGGAGCTGGAGCAGTGGAGAACTTTGCAGCTGCACGGCAGGTGTCAAGACAAACATTCCTCAGTCACGGTGATGACTTCCGGTTCCAGACCAGCCACTTCCAAAGGGACCAGCTCTACCAGCAGCATTACCAATGGGACCCACAGTTTGCTCCTGCGCGCCCACAGGGCCTCTCCGATAAGCTTCGTGGAAGCCGACCTGGCTTTGGAGACCCTGACGACTTTGCATTAGGTGCTGGTCACCGCTTCCCAGAACTTGGTGCTGATGTGCACCAACGGCTGGAATATGTGCCATCCAGCGCATCTCGGGAGATACGCCATGGCTCGGATCCCGCCTTTGGACCCAGCCCCCGTGGTCTGGAGCCCAGTGGGGCCTCGCGTCCCAATCTGGGCCAGCGTTTTCCATGCCAAGCAACCTTGAGACAAGGCCTGGACACCGCTCCAGAGGCAGAGCCTGAGCGCAGGGGTGGACCCGAGGGCCGAGCTGGGCTGCGTCACTGGCGCCTTGCCTCCTACCTGAGCGGCTGCCACGGTGATGGTGGGGAGGAGGGTCTACCCATGGAGACTGAGGCATGTGAAGATGAAGTGCTGGCTCCTGGAGGCCGGGACCTGCTCCCCTCCGCCTTCCGCACTCCTGCAGTCTTCCCAGCTAAGGGACCAAAGCCAGGCTCAGGAAGCGGTGGTGGTGACAGCTCCGAGCGAGAGGGCCCAGAAGAGACAAGCCTGGCTAAGCAGGACTCCTTCCGCTCGCGCTTGAACCCGCTCATCCAGCGCAGCTCCAGGTTGCGCTCATCACTCATCTTTGCGTCACAGGCTGAGGGTGCTGTTGGGACCACAGCAGCCACCGCTGAAAAAGTACAGCTGATGCACAAAGAGCAAACAGTCAGTGAAACTCTGGGTCCCAGCGGAGAGGCTATCCGTTCCAGTGCCTCGGCCAAAGTAGCAGAGCTACTGGAGAAATACAAGGGCCCTGCCCGGGACCCTGGCGGTGCAGGGGGTGCGGTCACTTCTTCCAGCCACAGCAAGGCTGTAGTGTCCCAGGCCTGGCGGGAGGAAGTGGTAGCACCAGGAGGAGCGGGAACTGAGCGCCGTAGCCTTGAGAGTTGCTTGCTTGACCTGCGCGACTCCTTTGCCCAGCAGTTGCACCAGGAGGCAGAGCGACACCCAGGGGCCGCTTCGCTGACTGCAGCGCAACTGCTCGACACGCTGGGCAACACAGACCGCTTGCCATCACGCTTCCTCTCCTCCCAGGGCCGCTCCTTATCTCCACAAGGTCGCGATAGCCCTCCGCCAGAAGGGCTTGGAACACACCAGCTGCCTTATTCTGAGCCAAAAGGGAGTCCCACCCCAGCCTACCCTGAGCGCAAGGGGAGCCCCACTCCAGCTTACCCTGAGCGCAAGGGGAGCCCCACCCCAGCTCACCCTGAGCGCAAGGGGAGCCCCACCCCAGCCTATCCTGAGCGCAAGGGAAGCCCCACGTCTGGATTTTCCAATCGAAGGGGCAGCCCAACCACAGGA